ATATATATATATATATGCACACACACACACATACATGTATATAAACATGTTGGCTTTTTATATGTGTATGTATATATACACATATATATATAGTCTTTGCCTAGAGGTCCTGCAGTCTAACTTAAAATTGACAAGTCTTGAAAGAGAAAAGGATGAAGATAGCAGTGCTAGAATTTGTTGATGATGTGATAATTCCAAGTTGTTTGGGAGACATGTTAATGTGCAAATAAAGAAGTAAAAAGGTTGCTTTCCTCCAGTGTCTCCCAGTCAGGTAATTCTTGTTTGCCAGTTATGTATTACAGTGCAGTTGTCTTGAAAAAAGCTAACAAGATGTTCCAGCTATGTAGTCATATTGTTTAATACCAGCCTGTTCCTTTTTGTTTGACCAGGTCCATTCTTTATCATTAGTACTGAATAAGAAAACTAGTGAGCTTGCTAAAGCCAGTGTGTCAAAACTCGCAGCTCACTTGGAAGTGATTGGTGAGTAAATTAGAGGGCTAAGGTTGTATGCAGTTTAAAATTAAAGGAGGTGAGCACTGGAGTTATGATTTGAAATACTTTTATTTTGGTGCTCATTGGGGTTTTTTTGTGTGTTTGTTTCCTGGGTAAGATGCACAGACTTGTTTTTAAATCAAGTTCAGAATTTACACTTTAATTCCTTGTATCCCTCCCAGTAGTTGTCATTTTAGCTGAGATTATCTAGGATTTTAATAGTTCACTTTCACAGAGCAGAACAGTAGTGTATATTACTGTTTTAGAGGAAAAAGAAAGAATTCTGTGTAAGTTTTCACAAATCAAAGTGATGTGATCCCATACATAATGTAAAGCATAGGGTTGTGTTTGGGTTAATATAATCTTGGTAGCAGAAAGACATGATTTTCTTTGAACATGATGTTGAATGTGATATATTTAATTACTTGTAATGAGTTTATCCCACTAATAGAAACTTTTGGGTCTTAGTAACTTATCTGTGTTAGAAGATCCTAATTGTCTGTCTTCTTTTTGCAGAGGGAGATTTAGCCTTGCAAGGAAGTATTGGAAGTCTGTCCTTAAGTGATCTTACAGCTCATGGAGAATTTTACAGAGAACGTTTCACTACAAGTGGTGAAGAAGCACTCATTTTCCAAGTCTATAAGTATGAATATAAACTTCTTGTTACTCAATAATAGCGTCATTCACTTCCTGTGAACATCAGTTAAATTCTCTATATTATTATGTTGAATACAAGCAAAAATGCATAGCACTGTTTGTAAAATGTAGCTAACATCACTTAATTTTACTTTCAACCTTTATCATAGATATGGAAGGCCAGATCCATTGCTACAGAGGGAATGTGATATTCGTGTCACTCTGCGAATGGCATCTGTTCAGTATGTGCATACTCAGCGTTTCCAGGCAGAGGTGGTGTCTTTCATCCAGCATTTTACTCAGCTTCAGGATGTCTTGGGGCGGCAAAGAGCAGCAATTGAAGGACAAACAGTATGTCTGGGTTTTTTCTCTTCTTTTCTAGCCTATTTTTGGAAGTTGAAATGCAGTATAAAATTTGTTACTACATCAACTCACTGAGTTGAAATGATGGGAGATTTTACAGTTCTCATGTTAGTGGAGATTGCTCATACTCATCTTGTACTTAAAAAACCTTATTTAGGACCATCATGCTGCTATTTGAAAGTGCAGAATATCACATTTGCATATTTCTTAAAACTGGCAACTGCATCCCACAGTATGCACTGATACATGTATTTTCCTATCTTTATGGTGCCGCACAAAAAGAGCTGGAGATTTTACCTTGCCTTTTTCTCCACTGATCACCAGGTAGTTGTAATACCTGAATAAGGAGAACCAAGTGCGAAGTCCTTCTGTTCTACTCAGTTGTATGGCTGATTAAGTATGGTGGCTGGTAGACTGAGATCAGATGCTGAACTTCTGATAATCATGACAGTCATAGCCTATTTTGTACAAAACCTAATGTGGGAGTGGTTAATAGAGTTAATAGTAATAGTCTTCTTTAAAAAGACACTTCTTATAACTGGAAGAAAGACAGTTAATACTTGAGTATTTTAAAATGCTTCCTTGTGCATCAGTTAGGAAGTCTGAATCTAATTTTGAAATGTCTGTTCTAAATGGTGGTTATTTTCCTTTTGTAAATAACTTTTCTCAAGTAACCTTTAAGTAGTGAGCTGTGTAGTGTCTGTTATGCCTCTTAGTTCAGTGGTGACAGTGTTCACTTCTGATTGCTGTACCAGTTGCACAGGTGTGTGCTGTTTGCATCCTAGTCCTTTTTTAGCTAGCCTTTATTCTCTGCCTAAGACAACAGTTATAAAATTTTATAACATCTTAATTTTGTAAATCAAGGAATAGTGTTCCTCAATTCAGTACTAATGAGTGTGAAATAATCACCCACTTCCTGTATTTTTTAATAATTTTAGTCAATTTTTGCTCTTCCCAGGTAAGAGATAAAGCACAGCGAGCTTCCCGAGTTCTTCTTGATATTGAGGCTGGTGCTCCTGTTTTGCTTATACCGGAAAGCTCAAAGTCTAATAGTCTTATTGTAGCTAACCTTGGAAAACTGAAAGTCAAGAACAGATTTCTGTTTGCGGGTATGCCGGGTACTTTTTCATTAAAGAACAAGGTAAGATCATTATTTGTTAATCTAGCAGCTTGTGGTTTTTGTAGTTCATTTTATTTATATATCAAAATGGCAAATGAGTCTTTATTTTGCTTCGTATATTCACTTTGTACTACTAGGTAAAACAGTCTGCACCAGTGTGCTGGGTGATCTTCTGGATCTGGCCTGCTGCTGATTGTACCCAGCTGCTCCCTTCTGTGCCTGCACCTGGGCTTGCTTTCTGAGACCTTCAGGGCAGGGGGAGACTGTTCTGTGGCAGGCACTAGAACTGGCCTTGTTAGGGAGCAGATCCCAGCTGGGTGCACACCTGAATGTGGGAGCATAACAGGCTTTCAGCTAACCATATTTGGTAATTCTTCAACTCCACCAAACCAACTCTGAACAATGTAAACAGCAGAAAATAGGAATCTGTATTGGTTGAGACTTGCTGGAACACACTGAAGAACAGAATTGGGTTTACTCCCCCCCTCCCCTTGCTCCTTTTAATGAAGCTGAGTATGTGTAGTTGCTTTCATCAGATGAAACCTAATGAAAGTTTCCAGTAAATGCTTGAACCTAAGGCTAGATGCAGGACAGGAGATAGTGTTGCTGTTGAGAGATGCGGCCACAAAATTTGTGGTAAGGGAAATTTATCTTGAATGGCTTTCCATATTTAGCATATGCTAGAAAAGAGGTAGGTATTCTGGGAACCCTCTAATTCCATTTTAAAGGGGGGCAGAAATGAGGTAGAATAAATTGCTATGCAGTTTTGTGGTGTGTCTTTTACCTCCATCTAATTTACATCTACCAGTGTCTTTACTGTAAGGAAGTATTGGACTGTATTATTGAGTTGTCTTCCGTACTGTAGTGTGCTAACCTATTTAAAGGTTTGTAAGTGGCAGATTCCTAAATTTATAGTTTAAAGAAGGGATGTATGCATAGTAATTTTATTTCAACTTAAAAATACTGTGTTACATAGTACTGTAGAAATTTGGCAGTTTGAAATGGGATCAGGTGGGGGCTTGGGGTTTTTTTTTGTTTGTTTTTTGTTTTCATTTTTTCTCTGTCCTGTGTTTATTTTTGAGGATCTGATTTTACAAGGCAATGCATACAAGGATCCAGTTTTATTTGAGGTATTTCACATCTTTATAATAGTGTTCAGGTGCTCCTCATTCATTAAAAATAAAAAGGAAATCTTCTTGTGGAATTTAGCACTTTAAAAGTTCATTTGGACATTAAAAATTATGTTTCTGTTCGAAAGACTGCTGAATTCTGTAAGAATTGGATTTAAATTTGTTGTGGTGTGTTCTTCACGCATGTCTGAGGAGCTATTAATTTGGATTTATTGCATAAATTCATAGATTTAGAGGTGATGTGATGATTTTTCTTTGCATGTACTTTTCTGCCTTGTCTTCACAGTATAAAGTTAAATGTTAATGTCTTCAAATTTTCAATCTTAAAATCCTTGATCATGGCTGCAATTAATTTTTCCAATGAAAAATATTTTAAAACCACATAAGAAAAGTAAGATGAATAATGTAATAAGTAAGATATTTAATTAAATAAAGAAGGTTTATGGGTAAGGATTGTACAGTGACATCATAAGCTGGATACAGAAAAAGTGGGAAATGATAGTAACAATACTACAGTCACGGGTAAAGTGAGCAATTCCAGAGTAAGAGGAAATGGATCACTAAAAACAGATGACAGTTATCTGCTAGGGCATGTGTAGCCTAATGACCCCTGAAATTGGCTTCAGAGTATAAATATGTGTAAATCTGTTCCACCAAACCTGTGTTTCAGGGAGAATAAATTCTTGATGGTGACTACTTTACTAGTGAACTATACCCTTTGCAGGTTTTTGATGCTAGACAGCATCATGAAGGTGGAAAAGCTCATAAGATTTCCACTAGATATGTTGTGATGGGGAAATGTCTAAAATGTTACATCAATATAAATCAGCTCTTCCTTTTTCATCTGTGGGGATTTTAACAGTTAAGGGTAGGGATTTATTCTGTCTTAAATTTAGCTACTGCATAAAACATTTTGGGATGCATTTCAGTGTGATGATTGAAATATTTAAAGCACATAAAATGACTTCATGTATAGAACTGTTTCTTCACATATTCTAAAAAAATACTAAGTTGCTGACAGGATCTTGCAGAAATAATGGCATATGGTCTTTTCATCATTAGAAGATGTTCTGAAAACCAGCCTTTAATATTTAACAGTCTTTATTGTACAGAAATCCTTGATATCTTGACAGTCTTACTTCTCTATTTTGTATTCACTTTATTTACTTGAGGTTTTTTTGTTTTGTGCAAAATCCACTGGTTTTGAATTAATTTCTCATTGAAAAGATTTTACAACATTTTTTGAAAATGTTGCTGAAATAAACTTTTTTAAAAAAATGTTTTACTCTGCTATTAAGATTATAGGAAAAAAGTTTGACCATCTTTCTACAGTAAAATATACTAGCATTGAAATAAAGTATTTAGGTTTTTTGACAGCTTGAGCCTCAGTGTATTGGTTCCTTCAAATTTACATGAAAATCTATTGTTAATTACAACATTATTTTCATTAGCAGGATTCAGTTCAATTTTCATCTCCTTTGGGAACACCGAAACATAGCATGAAGAAAACAAGTGCTGATGAATCAAAAGTAGTGATGGAAGGGTTGTTCATGAAAAAATCACCAGGAACAAACATTTCTAGGCTGAAGAGTGAGCCGGTGCTGAATACGTTGAGTAAGCAACAAGAGCAACAATCAAAGCTACCTATTGTACCAAACCCTGACAGCCCAGGTACGTGATAAATAGTAGAAACCCCATACACCTCTTTTTTTTTTTCTTGTAGTGCAATTTTGCTAATATTTTATGGGACACTGAAAAAGTAAGGCTCTGGGCCTAAAGGTGGTAGATTTCAAAATAAATTATGTCTTAGTTTCAAGGTTGATTTTTGCAGCTTAAAGGATTAGAGAGTTGTAGTTCAGTTTCTGGAAAAACAGTCCTGCGATTTGGACATGTTTTGAGATGTATGTTGCATATCATACAGAAGACATATCAGTAGTTTACATTTATCGGTGAATGAGCTTCGTATCTGGTAGTTACAAATGAGCATGAATAAAAGTAATAAAAATCAGAATAACTTCCAGGAGAAACAAAATTTAATTTTAAAGTAAATTGCATTAGTTTTGTACAGATTCTTTTTTCTGTTTCCTAATGTATTATTTCCTGTACACTTGCAGAGGATCACATCTGCCTCTTAGACTGCATTGTGGTTGATCTGCAGGACATGGACATATTTGCTGCAGAAAGATATCAGAGAGAGTACTCAAAGGCTGTGGAAGATTCAAGTGCGGACTTGAACTTTCCATCCTACTTCGTGAGGCAGACAGGAAGAAGCCTGCTAACAGAACCTTTCAGGCTGAAGTTACAAGTAGAGAGAAACTTAGACAAGTGAGTTTATTTAAACAGGACCACTTCATGCTGTCAGCCTAAAGCCAGAGTTTTAGATGTCTTTCATCATATTTTAAGTGTTGCCTGCTGTGTTATAGCACCTTCAAACACTGAGGGTTTTTTCCTTTGTTGTAGAGAGTTAAGTCATGCAGTTGCAGACATATCGATCCATGGCAATCTGTCATCAGTCCATTGCTCTCTGGATTTGAATAAGTATAAACTGATACGTGGACTGCTGGAGAACAACCTTGGGGAGCCTATAGAAGAGTTCATGCGGCCTTATGATCTGCAGGATCCAAGAATTCATGTAAGAGGAACTGTATGCAGTTGAAATTCTCTTCTCAAATGTCTGGAGGTTTTGCTGATTTGGCTAAATATCTGTTACTTTCTTGTAGTTTACCAGGTGGACTGGTAGATTTAAAAAAGAAAAAAAAGAAAATCTAGGTAAACAAGCAGTGAAGGAACCTTTTTGTCTGTAGATACTCCTGTGAATTCAAGTTTGTTTTGGCATTACCGTTGCCCGTTCTGGCGTGGCTTGTTTCTATGATTGTTTCATGTTTCTGAGATTCTAATCTTTAGGAGAGACTGTGAGAAACAACCATCATTGCTTGTATTTGTTAGTTTGTTTTAGATCTGAAGTATATCAGTGGGGAAAAAAGCTAACAAATCTGTGAACACTATACTTTTTAATTTTTCTTCCGAAGTATTGAAGCTGAGCTGCTATTGCAGTATGTTATTGGTACATCAACAAGCTTAAGGTACTTCCATTTGAATGGAGGTTTTTGGAGGTGCTTGAAGGTTATCCTGTAATCACATGCAGGGTGATGATTCCTTTGTAGTGGCGTCTATGGCATTCCTAAAGACTTAGGAGTTTGGAATGTAATACTACTTTGTTTTTAATGCCTTCTTTTTATTTCAGTAATAAAAGCTTTACAGCATGGCTGAGCTTTTTTTTTTTTTCCTTTTTCCTTTTGAGAAGGTTCTCAAGTATCACGTATTTGGCCATTGCCAAATACTGTGCTTCCAGGAAGACTGTGAGCAGCACCTGGAAATAATCAATATTTATCTGTATTACTGGGAAGGCAAGTTGTTGAACAACATGTTTCAGCTTGATCTGCTGGGGCTTCTAAGCACTGTCTATGTGCATGACTGTGATCTTTGCTTAAGAAGCAAATATGCAACTACAGCAGGGGGAAGAATTTCTAGGAAGCATCTAAGATCCTCTTAAGAGAGGAGAGAATGGGTGAAGCTCTCCTAATATGAATATGCTCTTCATGTCAAGCTTTTCACCTAAAACTTTTTTTAAAAAAAGTTTTAGAAACTACAAATCTGATCTAATAGAAAGTATTCTTGGCTGTTTGTTGTTTTCTTTGAGAAGGATGGAGGTGACGACTGCAACTGTTTAAAAACAAAGAAGCTGTAGAACAGTAGTGTGAAAACGGATTGATAGACAATTTTCAAGTTAAAGGCTACACTGTTGTGAAATGTAACTTTTCCCCAGCAGTGGTTAATGAAACTCTTTGAAGGTGGAAGACACTACAGCTGCTTGCATTTGTCTGAAATAACAAAACTTCATTGAGGAATGAAAGTTAAACAGGTGCTCTTAAAAAGAATGTTGGTGTTTTCCCCTTTCAGACAGTTTTGAGTGGAGAAGTGTATACTTCTATGTCATTCCTCATTGACATGGTTAATGTGAGTCTGGAACTGATGGATCCAAAAGGAAAAGATGGATGCAGCTCTTTAGCCAGGTATGAATTTTCTATTGTTACTGAATACCTTATCCTAAATACTAAGCTCATCTGAGAGATTATAGGATAGGAATTAACATAATACATGAAATTATGGTTTAATAATACAGTGAAACAGAATTTCTTTTGAGTCCAAACTGAGAGTTTCAGATGATATGAAAGATGGAAGGGAATGACACTGTTTAAAACATACCATCTGTGTCTTTCCAGTTGTCCTTGAATTTGCAGTTCAGTAATCAGCTGACTTGCCCAAGACAAATGGCATCCTAGTTAAGAAAATGTTGTGAGGCAATCTTAAAAGAAACAGATTTCTGCTATGGTGATTTGTTTTTTCTTTTTAATCCAGAACATTATTATATACAATGTAGATCTGCTTTCTATCTCTGTGACATAAGATGTGATTATAGTTGTTTTAGAAAATATGTGAATGAAAGTTATCAGCGGTATACCATGCATACTTTTAAAATAAGTAATTCTAGAAATAAATGAGTTACAAGACTTAAATGTATTGATTTGGTTTTTTTATTTTCCTAGGTTTGATTTTAAGAAATCCAAGTTGCTTTTTGAAAGCTCTTCAAATGGAACAAAGTCTGTAAATTTGGTTTCTCATTCCATGATGGCATTTGACACACGTTATGCGGGTCAGAAGTCTACTGCAGGCACGCCAAATGTGTTCAATTGCATCTTTCAGTCATCAAAGAACACTAGTAGTCCAGGAGCAATCCAGATTGAATTGCACTTCAGGTTGGTAATTCTGGGATTTATTTTCTTGTTTTTTAATAATGACATACTCAAGCAGGATTGTCATGTTTTTAATATAGCTGTTATTAACATAGATAAACTTATTGGCATTGTATTAAAATCTGAAGACATTTTTAGGGTGGTCAGTGGTACCTGTTAGATTGAAGTCTGCAGTTAATAATTAACTGAAGGTTGTTGGATTTGGTTATTGGGCTTTTTTTGTCCTTGTTCCAATAAAATTTAGGTTTGAATGTGTATTGAATAGGATGAAGTTCTGACCTGTTAAAATCAGTAGTGCTTAAAGCCTGAGAAGTCTGGCTTATCACTTATATGTTTGCATAAAATAATCTTACAGAATTTTTAGTATGTGTTGCACAAAAGCTGTTTTCCAGTAGGTGTCACACTTGCCTTTCTGAGAGAAGCAAGTAAATACAGAAATGGCACCTTTTTAAAAAAGTAACCTCTACATTCTCGTCTGAATTCTGTCCTACCACATTTGTGTTTTCTTATCCAATCTCTTGGAGTGCTTGAAGGCATTGCAGTGGATATCTGTTTTGTTCTAATTTAATTTTGCAAATGGGAATATAAAGTATGATGATATTCACCTTTATCAGCATTGTGTTTCATTGAGCAATGTTAACTAACAAAAAAGAGGATGAAGTGAGATGACTAGAGATGTTGGTTTCACTTTTCATCAGGCTCACTGACCAAACTCAGCTTTCTGACTCTTTTATAAGTATGATACCTTCTGAAGCAGCTGCAAGAGTAACATAGGGAAAAAAAATCTGTGGACTATTTTAGTCCAGTAGAAAATATTGAAGACATTTGTTCTTAAAGACCAACCAACCAAAACTTAGGCAATTGAGAATAATTTATTGTGAAGGTATAGATAATACATGATGGTTTTAAGTAATTAATAAGTTTGTGTTCAGAAACACACCAAGATTTTTATTTTAATATAACTAAAAATGTCATGGGATTTAAAAAAAAAAAGTTTTTGTGTAACTGTTGATCTAGGGTCTGCCTAAATTGGAGGTTAGTTTGCACAGTAGAGCCTAAACTGGTTTGAGGGGCATTTTCAGGAATTTTCTTCCCAACTGTTGTGCTTTTAAATTTTAGCCACATAAGCATGTGTTATATTTTTACTGGTGAGAGCATCCTTGGCACTAGATGTAAGCTTTTGCAGAGCTCAGTGATAGTGTTATACTGGCTTATGCCTTTTGGAAATATCCTGGAGAGCCAGGGAGGGTTAAAGGCTTTTACTATTGGAAGCAATGCAGGCAAACTGCTTCTCACAAAGGAATTGCAGTTCTTTAGAGATTTTATAGTTCAGAATGCGTTGGATATAAAATTGTTTCATGGCATTTAAGCACTTAGATGATTTTCCAGTTAGCATGACTAAATGTAATTGGTATTTCAGATCATGAAGCCAAACACTTTTATCCCTCCTAGCCAGATATTCAAAATGTGAGGCTAAAAGTTCAGTAAGGCTAGCATTTTTTCTGAATGACAGAGAAGCTTCCTGTGCTGCAAAATGCTGTCAGGGTGTGAGAGGAAACACATTGTACATCTAACTTTTAGAGGGATATGGAGCCAGGTCTAAGTTTCACACACAGTATGTTAAGTTTGATACTGAACAGATGTAAAATAGTAATAAAAAGATCAGTTTTAAAATTTGAGACTTTGCAAATGAGTATTGATAATGAAATGCGTCAAATGTGTAGCTTTTATAGGTCGGTTGGTTTAAATAGTTTTTTCAATTCATATTTTCTGTCATTACAGCTTAGAATTTATACAGCTAAGATCTGTTGAGTTTCTCTGGGTACACTAACTTGAAGAATTTTAATCTGTTTATATATGCATTTTAAAAGCCAGACACTCGGTAAACTAAGGGTATTCCTATAAATTTCTATATGGTTCTTACTTGCTAGATACTAATAGTTTGCCATATCATTTTAAGTATATGTAAGATGTAAAGTTCATATGTATGCTTCTTTCTTCTTAAAAGGTCTACTAAGGATTCCTCCAGTTTCACAGTTGTTCTGAACAATCTTCGTGTTTTTCTAATATTTGACTGGTTGTTGCTTGTTCATGACTTTTTATATACTCCTGGAGATACCAAAAAGCGGGAAAATCACCTTTCTTCCCGGCAGCGAACTTACAGCACGGAAACAACTGTAGTTCCAAAAACAGTGAAAAGTGGAGTAGTTACAAAACGTTCGTCGCTACACGTGTCTACAGAAAAACAACTGGAAGTTAAGGTTAATGTGACAGGTAAATGTCTACTTTAGTGCTTTTTTCAGAGCTTTTGTGATTAAAAGCCATGTGTTAGTGGAAAAACAGATCCGTTAAAGGACAGAAAATCAAAAAGCCTGCTATAAATGCTTAAAATACCTTTGCAGTATTTCCAGTTGCCAAATTGTTTATTATTTGTTGTTTTGTTTTGTTAAGGAACTGAATTTGTGGTTGTTGAAGACATGTCTTGTTTCGATACCAGTGCAATTATTTTGAAGGGGACTACTGTTCTTACTTACAAGCCCAAGTTGTTAGATCGTCCTTTCTCTGGTAGTTTGTTTGGCATTGAGGTAAGAAGAAATAAATGTGCTTTTGTAAAACATCTACAATTGGAAGACCTTGTGAAGATAATTTACTATGAACATATACAACAGGAATAGTCCACAGGTGATTTTTGAAGTTCATTAGTTCCTCATCAGATGCTCCTGTTCTACAGCAGTTTGAAGAATGTTTTAATATTGTTTCTGTAAGACATTGAAACAATTGAATATTATCTCAAAGTATTGCTAGTTCCGAGTATAGCTCCCAGCCATAAACTGGCAACTTAATTGAACACTGAGGAGTGACTGGGTGAAAAGAAGCCGACATAGTCAGCAAAGGCCTGGAAACTGTAATCATAACTGACTTGAGGTGAACGAGCAGTATCACACCATTGGAAAATGCAAGTAGAGGATCCTTTGCAAGTAGGAATTTGAAGTATACAAAGTCCTTGCATCTGTTCAGCAGAGTAGGACCACAGCTGGAGTGCTATGGCCAGTCTTGGGGAAACGGCGCTGAAGAAGCTCTGAACAATTGATAAGAAAGCAACACGAACACTCAGAATTGAGGGTTACATAATATATTGGGAAAGCTTAAAAGAACTTGCTCAGAAGAAGAGGCTGTACAGAGATAGGTAAATCCTAAATGGTTATTGCAGGCTAAAGAACAAAGTGTTTTCCATATCTGGTAGGCGGAGTAGTGGAGTTAAGCTTAGCAGTAAAGAGAATATTTTGTTGCATATCACAATCTCTTTTCCTGAATTTACAGCATAGCTGGCCACTGGAATAAATTGTCTGGAATCTCTGCTGTTTTAAAGTTTACAAAGGAACTGTCTGTAGAAAACAGTTCATGGCTGTAGTTCATGTTTTGTGATAAAGAGCCAGTCTTTGATTTAGAGGTTCTTGCCAGTCCTGTTCTCTTCATTCCTCATTTAAAAAAAAATATTTGTAATTTTTAGGTTTTTTCATGCCGGTTAGGAAACGAGCAAGAGACTGCACTGTCAATTATTGATCCGGTACAAATTCAGATGGAACTTGTTGGAAGTTCTTCCTACCCAAGTGGTTCTGGACTGTTGGATGCTTTCAATAGCGAGGATTTTCCTCCTATTCTAGAGGTAACATTAAGGGCCTGAATAAAAATGTATGCAATAGAGAATACTAGATCATGATCTAGCACTTTTTTTTATGCCCAAGGATTGAATAGCATGCTTTCAAATGTATAAGAAAAGAATAAGATAATTTTTTCCTGAAGTGGAAAAGACAAAAAAGCAAGCATGCAGAGAATGCTCTTAGTGTATGGGAGTGATTTCTAAGTTATAGAGTAGGAAAAAAAGTGGGCTGATAATGTAGACATGTTAGATAGTTCCTAATACCTGAAAGAAAAAGGTTTATTTTCTGTATCTCATTGTTGGTGTTTTTTTAGATGGAAAGTCTATTTAGAGACTTCTTTTTACATTACACCGAATGCTCTTAGTGCTTTTGATTGTTCATAATAAATAACAAATTTGGTAATTTTATTAATGGAGCTTTTGTGGTCAACAGGTTTTAATATTTATTTTTGTCTTCCTTTCATAAAAGCTTTGTTAATAGCCGAAATATACAAGAAACATATGTAGAAAAAGGTAACTGAATCTTAATTTTTAATTTTTGATCTAGATTCAGTTGCAAGCACTGGATATCAGGCTGTCCTACAATGATGTTCAACTGTTCTTGGCAATTGCAAAGTCAATTCCTCAACAGACGAGTGCAGCTATGCCTGACTCAACTGGGTCAATTGCTGAGAATACTGCTAATCCTCCCAGTTTAGCACTGGTGAATGAGACTTCCTCCACGACACGTGAAAGCAGAGAGATATCCAAACGTGTGTTGGATCCTGTTCTTGGTACGTTTTTAACTGTTGGAGTGAAGCCATTTTTTATATCTAAAGGAGGTTTCTGCAGTATGAAGCTAGACTATATGCTTAACACAAAAGATGTTATCTTCACTGTATAAAACCCTTCATTGGTTTGAATAATCTGACGATAGCATTATACTGATGACAGTGTAAAAAAGTAGGGGTTTTTGGAGTTTTTTTCTGCTCACAGTATGACAGAGGGTTGTTTTATAATACATTTTATTCATCATCACTTGTCATTGTAAATCATCACGATGGAGTACATCTTAGGTAGCACGCTTCTAAATGGGGAGAAGGGCCACCTCTTCAAACTCATTAAATTGATAGTGAAATGGAAACCATCATAATTGCTAGTTATCTCTTCATATCTAGCAATCTTTTGTTTTATTGACACTGATTTTTTTACAAACAAAAAATTGTCTGATCGGAACCACTGCCTGACAATAATGAGGAAATGCACACTAGCGAAAGAGGCTTTCTTCTCTGCTACTGTGCTTGAGTCATGTGGGGAATCCAAAGTAAATAAGTAATTGCATTCTGAATAAAGGGTTGGTTTACAAACAAATTTTCATCTCAACTGAAATTCATGGAGTATGTTGGCTTTCTGTAGGAGAATGAAAATAGCCCATATATTCTAGAATACAAAAGTTATGTACCAGGGGTTTGGTTTTCAGGTTTTTTTGTTTGGTTTGGGGTGGGTATTTTTGGAGTGTTTTGTTTTGTTTTTTTAAAGCAGTGCTGAATTGTATGCTTTTTCTACAGTTGCAATCTTAAAGGAACAAAACCCCATTTTTCATACATATACATTAATTTTAGAAATGTAACCAAGTTGATACCTGTCAAGGATTTGTAATTGGCTAACTGTTCAATTACAGAGGTACAGCTGGCTCGCCTCCAGGAGCTGGGATTCAGTATGGAAGATTGTCGTAAAGCTCTTTTGGTCTGCCAAGGTAACCTCAAATATTCTTAAGTTGACTTTGCAGATTGTTTATGCTGCCTAACTTCCATTTAGGTAAACATTTTCAGACTGTAAGGTAGCTGATGCACAGGGAATATTCCCTTCTCTTCTTTACTTTGGTTCTGTGTTGGCATATAATCCTCATTTTTCTGTTCTACTCCTGTGTAGAACCCACCCCTCAAAAATGCTTCTTGCCATTTGGGATGTCATATGTGTGGTGTTTGAGTGCATTTTGCTTTGGAAGTTTGGGGTGGTTTCTTTTTTTTTTTATGGTGTTCCTATTTCTTGCTGTTAGCCGTCTCTTTCTCTTTAGAGCATGTGTCTTCATCTCTCCCTTTTTGAGTCATGTCTTTTACCTACTTCTACATGCAATACATAAAAAGGAGATGAAGCTTCAACACAAGGGATTCTTTTTCTTTAACACCATCATGTTTCTCACCTTATTTATAGGCATTCATAGTATTAATATAGATTTATATTATATTATGTTGCCACTTGGGTTGCAAACTTCAAAACACATTTCTTATTCTTAGAAAATACCAATCTATTTATAATCTTACCATATCTGTTACTAAATAGAACACGTGCAAGGTACTGTTGATGTCTTGCAATACTTCTTAAGAGAAAGGGAATTAGTTTGCTTCCTTTTTATTTTTATTTTTTTTGTAAATAAGTACATTTCATGGAGAAAGTAGATGATGATTGATTGGTTGTTTGGTTTTATCTAAGGTGACTTGAAAAAAGCAGCGAGTTGGTTATTTAAGAAGGCTGAACCTTTGAAATCTGTTTCCCTGACTTCTTCTGGTCAAGATAACCAGGGCATTGTGCCTTTTCAGTTCATCTCTGGAGTGGAAATAAAGGCAGAGAGTATATGCATTTGCTTTATTGATGACTGCATGGATTGTGATGTTCCCCTTGCTGAGTTAACCTTTTCACGTGAGTATCTTGTGTTGCTAAGTGAGTCGCGTAGAATTGCTGTCAGTTACTGTGTATGTTCAGCATCAGGCTCCAGTCTCTTAGAACTTGTGAAATTTCTACTGAGAGTGTTTTGGTGGTGTTGGTGGTTGTTGTGTGGGGTTTTGGTTTTTGGGGGGTTCTTTTTTGGCTTTTGGGAGGTTTTTTAGTTTTTGTTTGTTTAAGTTTTGGTTTTAAGAGTATAGTCTTTGTAGGGTAAAGATTCTGTTTTCCCCTTTATATGTCACATAACACCGTAGGGAAGCTCTGTGCTATAAAGCATGACTCTATAAATGTTATTTTTGGAGTATTATGATATACTTTTTTTACCATTTCAATTTAAAAGGCAAGATAAAACCTTCTATTGCTTACTTAACAGTTCACAAAATTAGGAAAATTGGTTGTTTTGCATTAGTGTGCCATTCACTTTTTTTTTTTTTTTTTTTTTTTTTTTAGGATTGAATTTTCTCCAACATTTGAGAGCCAACCCTGAAGGCTACGCTCATTTTACCCTCTCTGGAGATTATTACAATCGTGAGCTTTCAGGTGAAATACTGGGGGGGGTTGTTGTTTTCTTTATTTAAGTTTAGGAAAACAGCTTTGGCTACTAGAGTAGTCTGAAATTCACCCAACGTGAGATGCATACAAGGGAATGTGAAAGGTTGACTTTTGTGACTCTGTGTGTGAGAGAACGTGTGATCCTAGACAAGGTATCCTAACTTGATATCAGATGGAAGGTTGTGGAAAGTGGAGAGACTGCTGATGTGAAAGTTGCACTGAAGCTCTCAAATGTGATTGCATAAAAAGGTTATCTAAGAGCATGCCAGTTACATAACTAGCTGTCTCTGTGTTCACTTCTTAGTATTTAATTGTTTTGTTGCATTCAGTTTGTTACTTATTTCAGAAGGAAAAGCATGTGAGAGTAGGTGACTAGGCTGAAGACAGTGCTTTAACATAAGACCACTATCATGATTTATATTTTAGATATAAAAAAGCAAGTTATGCCTTAATACAGGTCAGCCACTGACAAAAGAAACAATCTAGTTATGTGTTTGCTTTGAACTGAGAAACTAAATTTTTCTGTTATATAATTGGTGAAAACAACCTCAGGAATTATCTGTCAAGCAGGATATTTTTAAAAACAAAAACTATGTTGGGTGTTTTTTTAAATAGCTTTTAGACCTTTGTTTTTACTGATACTGAATAGTAGGCCAGCTTATGTATAATTGTGTGAAATTAATTCTCAAAACTATTTCAGAGAACTTAGTTCCAGCTAACGTCAGTATGAAGCTGAATTGCCTTCTGATGCTTCCCTCCGAATTAAGATATTTCTGCCAGACCCTATGTATAGTGTGCACTGGTTCAAATGAAGGGGCTGGAGTAGCTTTGTATTAGCTAGTGAATTAAATCTGTAGGCTTAAAAGTTCATCTTGAGTGCAAATTGAAAGTAAAGGATCTCATTATTAAAGCTGCAGTATTAAATACTTTGGTATGTAAACAGCATTCCAATGTGGCCTTCAAATGTGTAATACATGGAAGATTTTCTGTTTGTTCTCAGGCTGGGAGCCATTTATTGAACCATGGCCATGTTCAGTTACTTGGCAACAACAAGCTTCGAGCCGCCTCCACCCTTCCCGACTGAAGCTGGAAGTAAAGGCTAAGCACCGTTTGGATATAAACATTACCTCTGTCTTAATAGGTATATTGGGATATTCCCTGAAAGCATCACTATACAATCTAATTTTCACTGTACTGAAAATGACAGTCATTTCTAATTGGGTCCTGCTGGTGTCCCATAGGTGGAGAGAGGGAGATTTGGCACAAGTCCTTAGGTACTTCACATGATATTGTACACAGGTGTGCATTTAGGCAGCCTGTATTTTATCAAATATTGTGAAAGTGTAAAGACATGAGCTACGTATTTTAGAGGTTAGTAGGAATTCTTTCTCTGGTCATATGAATTTGATAGAATTCATATGTTATTTGAAATTTATCTTTAATCAGAAACAGTCTTTCATCTAGAGTTTTCCATATTTTACAGTACTTTAAAATACTTTGATAAGCTCGTCATTTTTCAGTACATTGACAGATGCAGCAGGGAGCTACTCATTTCGGTTCTGCAGTTGCAGTCTCTGAAAACCTGAGCTGTCAATTCTCACCTCGGGAAATAAAAATATTTTACTCATCATTAACTCAAGCTTCATGGAATCTTCTGTGTTGTGAGACTGTGATTGTGTGCATTTCCCAGAAATATTGTTGCTTATTCTCTATGCAGATTTGAATAATTTGCTTTATGATTAATACTGTGCCAGAGGACTCCAATGGCGTCTTGATATTTATGCAGAAATATTCATTCCTCTTAAAAAGAAAAAAATACTAGAAACTACTTCTAACGTGAAAATATTTAAGGTTAATTGCCTCCTCAGGGAGAGCTCTTAAATTGCCACAGGATTGTCTTAAGAACATGGGATTCCACTGAAATGTTTTTGGGTTTTGTATTTTTTAAAAAGATCTTAAGAATATAAAAATGTCTGGTTTTGAAGACACTGCTGTGATTTCATGACCTGTTGTCTTTAACTTATGTAAGTGGCTCATAGCAAAAGCAGAGAAGTAAAACTTTTGCCATTAAAGCAGAGTAACTTTGGTGTTATGAATTTAACATACTTTTCAATTACTTTGTTTACTGCCACCTTGGAGACATTTACTGTCCATGCTTCTGTTCCTCTAGAACAGTACACGTGTACCAAGCAGTCATGGATGGAAGATTACTGTAAACAGGACAAAGAAGTGAATGTAATCAGTTCAGAAGACTGGATGGGTTCTTCGGTGGATCCACCGTGTTTTGGACAGAGTATGATACTCATTAATTGCATTTTATTTGTCTAATGTTTTACAAACATAAGTATTTGGTCTCCATAGCATGCAATGAATTGTTAGAGATAGTTGGCAAAAAAGACAAAAATGCTGTATTCTGTTCAGTTGTGTTCAATTCTTTAAAAACAGAATTCTTTCTGCCTACTTAGGTTTGAGTGAGAACCTTGCACTGCTAGTTTTGCCCTGCTTTTTTGTCACACTTCCTCAGTTAATGAGTGACTATCCTGTCAAAGATTAAACGAGAGTGTTGAGTTTAGAGTGTTTGCAGTTCAGAGGTTATCTTTTTCTTTCTGGAAAAAATGCTGTTATATTTGTGAAACAATTCTTTAAGTTGTAGCTCTTGGTATGTGGGAGGTCTTTTCAGCTTCTTTTCTCCCAGTGTTACTTCTGGAAGAAATTGTAGCAATTCAAATACTAACTTAGTGTAAGCAAATAGGTAGAGAATCATACGCTGATTGCATGATGCCAAATGTCTGTCTCTTCCCTGATGCATGATGGGGAAGAATCTACCTGTATTTGTGTGATTTTTCTTACCTGCTAACTTTGTCTTTCCTGTCTGCCAGGCCTTCCTCTTGTCTACCTTAGAACTAGGAGTACTGCCAGTTTGACTAACCTAGAGCATCAAATCTATGCTAGAGGTACTGTATAGCTGGATTTGTTTCCTGAGGTATTTTTCAGGAAGGCTTTTTTGTGAGAATGAACAAACAGACAGCAAAACCTCTTGATATTTATTGTTTGACTTTTATTGGATGTTGCAACTAAATTATTAAATTAATTATGAAAAAATAAAACCTCCTTGTAATGGTACTCTTTCTTTTCAGGCAGTAGTCTCAAAAGGCAGCTTTTACTTTGTTTTCTTTTGAAAATCAGGCCATAGTCCCAAAAATCTCAAAAAATAAATTGGCAATCGATTAAATGCCAGAATAAAAGTTCATTTGGCTTCTGGTCTGTAGAACCTGGACCAGCCAAGAAATTGTATGAAGTCAAGGTCAACACTAAAAAGATTGTTTTATTTGCACTTGGCAAAAATCAGATATTTCATTTTCAAGAATTTAATCTTCTTGCCATTTAATTGGAAAGAACTTTCTCTGTAAGCTTTAGAGAGATCAGATTTAAGTCTCCACTGACAGTGTAAGGTATATAGGAATTTGTTGTCGTTGATTTGGAAGAAAGTTGTATGCGATAATCAGTAACTTCTTCAAAAACTTACCTCCCCACCCCGCTTCACCCTTTCTTCTTGCCTCTGTAAACCTGTGCTTAAGTTATTCTTGGACACATGTTGCAGTGGGATGAATGGGTGTCAGGACATGAAGTACTTGAACTTGGTATCAGTCAGCCTTTGGAGTGACTGCAGATAAATTAGTGGAATAGATTTCATTTCTATCTTAGTTTTTCTTTAAGCATCTGATTTATCGTGTGTTCCTTCTTTCTACTTCTCTGATACAAAAAGATGTATGTGTTCAGGTAGCAGCCATTTATCTTCCTTTTTAAGCAAGCTACTGGAATTTGACAGGGTTTTTTTCTGTCCAGTCACAGTAAGTATTTTCACAGATGTGATGTTGTGCAGTATGGAAGATGAGAGTAACACTTATGTGCTTGTCAGTAATGCATATTTGAAAAAAAGTCAAACATGGTAGCTGAAGTTTCTTTCTTTTTCTTCTTCTGGGGTTTTGCTGTACCAGCATTTTAACAAAACCAGGTTACTTCTGGTTCAATTCAAATTGTTTTTGCTGCTTCATTTTAGTAGGCTTTATACTGTACAGGAAAATATTTCTACTTGTTCAGTCTTTGAGGATAGAAGTCCTATTTAAAGGGGATACCAGATAATCCTGTGTTCATCATGTTAAGTAGAGCATAAATCTTAATTATAAGTTAATGCATGTTTAATACTTTATGAGTATTTGGATGTACATTAAAAGTTACTGATTATGATTGAGTTTTCAGTTAGGTTTTCTACATGTTATAACTGGAGGCATGGTATTTTAAGAGACTTGATATGAAGAAACAAAAGAACATGTAGTTTAAGCAGTTCTGGGGGAGGGAGTGGTTTGATGTAGAAGACTCTGAGTTGCTTTGTACCATTTCTGTAATAGCTACTAAATACTTAAATTTTTTTAGTAATGTTATCCTGTTTCTTTGATTTGTTTTTCTTTAGTTAGTGCAGGTTGTGGTTCTCCAGCCATTGTGTCTCATCCTACATTAGCATCTGATGAATGCTTCTCTCATAAGCATTTAGACAAATCTTTATTCTGTTTTGTAGCTGAAATGAAGACTCCAAAACGTAGGCAGCCGTTTGTCCCATTTGCTCTAAGAAATCATACTGGATGCACTCTGTGGTTTGCTACCCTAACTACAACACCTACCCGGTAAGAAGCTGTTGTGGGATCACTTTGACAGTAGTTGTCTGGCTTCTCTAGCAGAGGCGTTGGACTAAATGATCTTTAATGTCCCTTCTAACCCAAACCATTCTATGATACTGTGATGTAGATATGTTTACTGCAGGACCTCTATTGACTGCAGCAGACTAAAACGCACTTGGTACTTGAAGTCATTTTGTCAGTTTGTAAAATGATGCGATTCTCGTCACAGGGCTGCGCTGTCTCACAGTGGGAGTCCAGGTGTTGTTCCTGAGGAAAACGGGACATTGCTGGATGACGCCCACAATGTCAGTGAATGGCAAGAAGTTATCACTGGGCAAGAGATTCCATTTGAATTTGAAGCCAGAGGGAAACTGAGACACAGGTGAAGAGACCAGGCTGTGAGATGTTTTGAAACACTTATATATGGAGCATACAGGATCATGTGAAGACACTAGCAGATAATAAATAACAAGTAGATATTTTTTTAATGTCCTGTGATTGTTTTGTTTTTTAAAATATTTAGCACTCATGTATAGACTGAAATTATCACTTGTCTAGTAAGCAGCTTGTACTGCTATTGGTGGCAGCTGTTCCTAGATGTAAGTTGGATCATTATAAGCTTTTTGAACATGTTAGGGGTCTGAATTACAAATCATACGTCCTTTATTCTAAAGGACTGTGTTGGGAAGGGGTGTTGGTTGTTGAGCGTGTTATCAGTGTTAAGAACTAGTAGAACTTATTAACAAATATGTAGCACACTTTTTGTTTATATGACGTAGTTGTACTTCTGTCTGTTCGTTAGGGAAGATGGAGTAATTGAACAGACCTAAAATTGGTCTGTCTTTACCTGTGAAATGCAAAACTTTGAGACTTTTTTTAAAAAAAACACTTCAGTGAGATTCTTTTCTCAGAATCCAGAGGATGTTCTTAGTTTGCCCTGTTTGGTGTTTACACTGTATGATAATGCTTAACAGTAATTTAACTTCATCTAACCTGGTAGGCACACGCATGATCTAAGAATTCATCAGTTGCAAGTGAGAGTAAACGGCTGGGAAGAAGTCAGTCCAGTATCTGTAGACAAAGTTGGAACGTATTTCCGTTACGCTGCACCAGATAAGAACTCATCCTCTTCTACTGTAAGTTCTGATTTTGAGTGTTTTACTAGAATATGTAATTTGTCTTAAAGATTTTGGTCTTAAAGCGGCTGCTGTATGTGATTGTCCTCTTTCTAGTTAGCTTGGACTGGGAGAGTTTGGGGATGCTGGGTTCCTAACCGGCAGTTTTACGCATGACAAAAACACAAAACAGAGTAGTCAGCAGTCTGTGCTTAGCAGTCACAGCTTCCAGTGACAGAACTGATTTATCAGTGACAGTGTTATGGACTCATGCAGGCTGAGCTGTAAATCAGCACAGCAATTCAGCAGCTATTTTTATTTCTTCTAGGAATGCGTTTCGTGTATTTAATTTACTTAAAGTAAACAACACTGGCGATTTCCTGTAAGACTAGAGATGCTGAAATATGTGGCTGCTTAGACAAAATATACTTGTCATGAAGGAAAAACGCAATTGTAATAATCAGCAGGCTGGGAGATGGTAGTTGAGGCTCAAGGAAACTACTGAAATTTTGAGACTAGCTACTGAAAATTGTTGAGGAGTGAGGAAATTGGACGTAGATAACTTTTTAGTAGAAAACAGGATTAGAATTTAATTCCATGATGCTACTGACAACAGCCAGTAGTTTCTTACTTGAATCATATCTGGTGTTTTCATATTGAAGCATAAAAACCATCCTCTCTTTCTGTAACTAGATTCTTGAGGGAAAAGGATGTGAATTAATGAGAATTGCTGTTCAGGAACATCTGTAGCTTTTTTTTTTTTACCTTTTCAACAAACCTTCCTTCATCTTCGTTTCTTTTTAAAGCAGTATGACAAACAGGTTTTGCTAATACAGTTATGACACGTTGTCCATGTTGTATTGAAGTTCAGAAACACTGTGTGATGAAAGTACTTAGTTTATTCTTCTGTAGTAATGCTCTGTATTACAGCTGAGAGTAATATCTTAAAAGCTGAACAATTTTAACTTTCTTGTTTACTTTTCTCCCAGCTTGGAAGCCCAATAAGTAGAACAAATATAATACATCCACAAGTCTATGTGAGTATATATTCTGATTTTTTTGAGAGCTACTTAAATAAGATTAGCATAATTCTACAAGTGAACTGGATTTTTCATCCTTCAACCTCCTTTCAACCTTTTCAATACAAAAGAAACAGAAGTCAAGCAAACAAAATAAACTTTCAAATCAGAACAAGTATTTAACATGATTTATAATTTCTCACCAATGTAAATGGTTGTTTGAATAATGAGTCTTAAATTCCAGTATGTGAGCCCACAGAAAATGTGGTTTGCAGGGTAGAATTGGCAATGACTTTGAGTGATGTAGGAAATAAAACACCTCAGTGGAAGGGCATCTAAGAATGAGGAAAATATGAATACTTGAAGAAAGTTCCACCTTATTTTTTAGTTTTTACAGATAGGAATGATGAGTGACTGTTAATTATATGAGACTTGGAATTCAAAATCCATTAATTTATAAAATAATGTAATAGTGTATGAAGTGTTCTTTTAGGAACTGTATTGCTCTTACTTGAACTTGCATAATTTTGAAAAAGATAGTGGAGTTGTTAGTATTTAGGATTGTGTTTTCATAGTTAATTTTATTGTGTTTTGAGGAGGAGGTACAGAATTATAAATCATTATTCTGAAACGATGTATTCCTTAGGTGTTCCACGTGGTTGCACTCATTTGGCAGGCTTTTTTTCCAATAGTTATTGCTTCAAAATTGAGGTGTCCCTCTTCTAGATAAAATCATTACCTGAGCTTTTTAATGCTTTTAAATATCTTCCAGTTTTCTTCATTGCCTCCAGTTCGTGTGGTATTTGAAGTCACCATGGAAGGTAGTGCTCGAAAAGTGATAACAGTGCGCTCAGCCTTGATCGTGAAGAACAAGCTGGAAACGCCAATGGAACTACGACTAGACAGTCCTTCTGCCCCTGACAGTAAGTGTTGTATATTCCTTCTGTACTCTGGGGAATCTTCAGCTTCCTCCTCAAGAAGATTCAACACTGTCTCTAATGGTTGACAACACAGTAGACCCTCGTGGAGGGGAAATCAGTAATGTTAAGAAGAAAGTGATTAGCCCAGTAGGATTTTTCCGTATTGTTCAAGTAAACAAGGAGAAGCTGAGACTATGTAAAGACTGACTCTTACTTCTTTATCCATCATGTTGTATCTTTTAGCAGTAATCTAGAAGGTTTTGTGTTTTAGCGTGTAAAGGTGCAGTCTAGAAATGTAGTGATATGCTGATAATGTACCTAAAGTGTAATGACTGAGGTCTTTTTCAAATAAGCATTTTCACTAAAGCATCCAAGAGAGAAGAATTTTAATTCCAGAAAGTTCTTAGTCTGTTTCCAGTTTCTGATTTACACATCTACATTTTTCTGCTGCCAGATTGTTAACAGGGCTTAAAACAACAGGTTAGTGTTCAAAACATATATGAAGTAGCATTGCTTTATGTTAAAATGAAACATATTGCTTCAACATGTAGAGACTTACTATTTGAAAATGTTATGCTTTTCCCATAAAGGGGCCTTTTTTGATATGTGTCTTTTCTTCTCTGGTTGCAGAACCTGTAGTTCTTCCTGCAGTTATGCCAGGAGATTCCTTTGCTATTCCATTACATCTTACATCTTGGCGTTTGCAAGCCAGGCCAAAAGGAATGGGTGTCTTTTTCTGTAAGGCTCCAATTCACTGGACTGATGTTCAGAAGACAGCAGAAGTATGCAGCAGCAAACGAGAGTGTCATTCAATGGAGTCTGAAAATAGCCGTTTTTTCAGGTAATTAAGGCCTAATTATTTTTGTGAGCTGTTTTATCTTCTCCTGATAAATTAAATACCATGAAAGTAACTAACAGGAAAGAAAATACTTAGAAATGAAAGCTTCTGCAGTTTAATGGGATGTTTTGTTTGCTCTCTTGAATAATGAGAAAGCACTGAAGCATAACTGCTATATTTCTGCAGGGCTCCTTGAAGCCCCTTTGACAGTGCCTGTTAGCAAATGTCTGAGAATACAAAGTAAGCATCCGATTAATATTAATCATGAAAGAGAAAAGGTTAGAAAACAGAATGTGGACTTTGGTTAAATTATCTGGTCTGTCTCACTGAGAATGAGTGGTTTGCCGTAGTGTGTTTGCAAATACGCATTCTTTGCCCTGAGTGTCCTGTACTTTGTTCTAAGCCCAGAGATGTGTCTGCATAATGAGGACTTAATGGACTTTTGTAGTTATCTGATATGACGGATTTAACAGTGCTCTTAATTTAGGAAACACTAGAATAGAAATTACGGAATTTGTTTCAAGAAATTACCTTTGCATACAATATAGTTACTGCTGTGTGTCAGTTCCATAGATCATTTCTGAATGTGCTGTTTTTTAATGTATCACAGGGAGGAAAATGAACAAATTATTTAAAATGAAGGTTTACTTACTTATTTTTTTACCTTAAATAATGAAATACTGTAGTGTCATGTGGCCAAAACAAGAATATATCTACTGGGAAGAATGACACATTCAGCATTTGTGTTTAAGAACATGATTATGGTTTACCTAATAGTAAAAATCTCCTTTTAGTAATAGTTGATAACATGTTTCTGTGAGTTTATGGAAGTTAGTTTTAAAGTTGGTAATCTTGAAAAGCAATTTTTTGTTAGGTCTCTGAGCAGATGAGGTTTTTTGAGTGATTAAATTAATTCTTTGCTTAAAATGAGGAAACTCTTGTCTTTATGTTAGGCATAAATACAAAATACCTTATAATCAAACTCTAAAGTGATTGCGTGGAGGACAATTCTAAATGCTGGTTTTGCTAGCAGTTGTGAAGTTACAACATGTTGTTGCATTTAGTGCAATACACAAAGACAGGGTTCAATTATTCTGTGGAGTTCTTTGTCACCTTCTCACGTACTTCTACCTTCACAGGTTTTGTGTGGCTATAAAGAAAGAAAATTATCCGGATTATATGCCTTCCAACATATTTTCTGACAGTGCTAAACAGATTTTCAGACAGCCTGGACATACTATTTATCTCTTGCCAACAGTGGTAATCTGTAACTTGCTACCTTGTGAACTCGAGTTCTATGTTAAAGGAATGCCAATTAGTGGGACATTAAAACCTGGCAAAGAGGCAGCATTGCACACAGCTGATACATCTCAGAACATTGAGCTTGGTAAGATTCTTTTTCAGATACTGCTTTCTGACCCTTCTAGAGGAGTACATCAGTAGAACTGTTTCTTGTACAAGGAACTGTGGTGAAAGAATGGAAAAATTAAAAAAAATGAAAGCATTTGTATAGTTGTTTCATTGGGTTGCAAGGCTGCTCATAGTTAAAAAACTAAGCACACACATCCAAAAAAATTACCAATATTGCCATCATTCCCCAAATCTGTGAGCTGTCTTAGTCTGTTCCTTATTCAGGTCTTGTCTTGTTTTCCTGAGTGGAAACTGGAGAGAGCAGTGATAAAGGCAATAAATCAAATAAGTTCCCAACATTTTGAGTGGCTTTGCTGGTTTTTTTCTGACAGAAAAAGTTAGTGTTGAGAGTATGTATGGAATTATTCAACACTGGCTGGACTCTTGATGCCTAAGGCAGTAAGTAGCCCTAAGCAGGGTTCTTTACAGAACTTTTGCTGTTTGTAACTTAAATTGAGGCATTTCTTTATGAGGCCAGAGATTATTACACTGGGCAGCTTTAGAAGTTAATCTGAACTATATGAAATATTCAGAAAGATCAAGCCACATTATACACCAGCCTTATACGCTTGTCAGAACTAATGTTTTGTTTTCCATAGGGGTATTGCTAGAAAACTTCCCGATCTGCAAAGAGCTGTTGATTCCTCCTGGGACACAAAACTATATGGTGCGGATGCGATTGTATGATGTCAATAAACGACTGCTAAATTTGACCATAAGGATTGTATGTCGTGCTGAAGGTTCTCTAAAAATCCTAATTTCAGCACCATATTGGTTAATCAACAAAACAGGTACGTTTACAGTATTTTCTTTCATAACTGTAATAATGACCTTGGAAATAAAGATTTCATGCAGTGTTTAGGTTTATTTTCTAGCCAAACAGTGCTTTTAAACACTACTTTTCAAATTGAAGTGGCAGGATTGTGGTTTTTTTACAATGGCAGCAGCTATTGTTTGATGATTCTTACAGCAGATTACTTAGATGTTTTAGTTGCTATATTGCAGATATTCAGACATAAGATATTGTACCTCTAAAATCAACATAGATTAGATCATTGTTAAAATTATGGTTTTCAAAGAATGAAATTACTTGGAAATGCAACAGGTCTAAATTGCAGTTATTCTGTGTTAACGTCCATTGGCACTTTCAGAGCTGCAAGAACTTCTTTTCTGCATGGACCAAACTCCATGGCTTGTGGCTGTTAATAGGTCTGGCTGTTAAACAGATTAGATGGAGAATGAGAGTGAAAATGCGTGCAGACTAATGCCTAATATTACAACTGAAATATTTTAGGTTATTCCTTAATTTGAAGTAGTTTTTACCATTCTCATCATAATTTGTGCAAAGGTGAAGTGTAGTTTGACATTCCATTTTTCTGTGTTTACGTAAAGGATTACCACTTATCTTCAGACAAGATAATGCAAAAACAGATGCTGCGGGTCAGTTCGAAGAGCACGAGCTTGCTAGAAGCCTCAGCCCACTTCTGTTCTGTTATGCTGACAAAGAACAGCCAAACTTGTAAGTAATACCACTAGAAGAGCAGAGAGGGGGAACCTTGCAAAGTATGAAAATAATGCACAGAGGACTGGGTTCTGATATATTAGTGGAAATACCATGTAGGAAAAGTCTTTCCCTGTTAAGACGATCTGTTACTAAGTTTCTAAATAGTGAAATAAGCATATTGGATCTTTAGACATTTCCTACTGAAAGCTCCTTGGTTGCCTAATTCTGTTGTGTCTGCAGGCTGCTTTGGTTTTATTTTGCGTATTTTGAGCTCATGCTGCTTTTGTAAGAAAATCAAAAAACTCTTTGAAGAGACATACCAAGTTGTATAAATTACTTCGTTACCACTAAATAAAAACCTATTTCAGACCCTAATCCTAAACTTTGAATGTTAATAGAAAGTAGTAGCAGTCACTTAGTAGGAAGTCCACATGCAGAAGAGCTACTGTGATTCTGATGTAAAAGGAAGTGGCAGAATTTTGGAAAGGAAACTTTTACAGCTACTTTAACTGGCATCAAGGAGTGAACTTGCTTTTCCTATGAAAGTAAGAAATAAGAACATGATTTAAAGTAAATTTATCTGAAATGTTCTGGGATTTTTGCTCAAAGGAACAGCAGTTAAATTTATCACTAAAATTTATTCCAAATTTTCTTTTTCTTTTTTCTTTCAAAGAAAAAAAACCACATAAATGTTGCTGTGGTTATTTGGTCTGAAAATTACCAAGCATTTTACAGGAAATGGTCACTGAATCTTGACTAATATATTAAAAGATCTTATGGCAGAAATGCAGAATGAGTTACTTGAAGAGATTTAGCATGGCTTCTAATGGTTTTATATAAAAACACAGGTGTTCTTTTTGTGTCTGGGTGCGTGTTTGATAATCAGTGTCGTGTTGCTATCTGATCCTTCATTGAAATGAGTAATCTTTGTGTTTTCTTCTTACTCTCAGTTGTACAATGCGGGTTGGAAAAGGAATCCATCCTGAAGGTATGCCTGGCTGGTGCCAGGGTTTCTCCCTGGATGGTGGTAGTGGCGTCAGAGCCCTTAAGGTGATCCAGCATGGAAACCGGCCGGGCCTCATTTATAACATTGGTATGTGTTGATAGGCTCATTTGAGAAATGCTGTAGAACTTGGTAAGATATGATGTCAGTGACACCAGAAATGGAACAATTACAGCAGGAAAATACATGTTGTTAAAGGTTTTTGAGGGTCCAGAGAAAAATATTAAACAAAAAATATTTTCCTAAGTATTTTTATGTCTTCATTTTGAATTTCATTAGCTTAAAATCAGTTTTCAGTTATTTTTACAGTTCATCATTGAGTATTAATAACTGCATTTACAAACTGTTCTGTTTCTGTGTCTGTATTCCCCCGTATGTTACTTTGAAATACATTTGAAATCCCACCATGTTACTGTGTTTGATTATGTTGAGTGTCTGTATACTGTAACAGTTCAGCCGTGTGCTACTTCTGTAGTTTTAGCTTCGTGGTGTCTCTGTAGGCTGATGTGAAGGAGTGCATCTTCTGTCTTTCTTGTGCTCCTAGTGTACATAAAGTACAATTTACTTAGAAGCTCTTAGTTTTTAATGAAGTGGTAGGATAGACTTTTTGGAGTTTGAAAATTATGCCACAGTGATTTCTGAATAACTTTTCTTATGTTTAAAAGTAATCCATTATTTGAATGGATTTACTTCTGATTGGAAATAGGTGTGGTTTTTTTTATCTTCAGTGCTTATGATCTCTAAATTGTCCTTTTAGAAACACGGTAACAGATGGCATAAAATTACATTTATTGTTTAAAATAGTGTTTCAAAATGTGGCAGTGGTATGGCAGAAACAGCGCACCTCAGGAACCCAAGAGAAAGAACTTCTGTTATGTGAAATATATTGTGGCAGATGTCTTTTGTTTTCTCTTGTAAAGATCAGCTTTATTTTAACTTGTTTTTCTTACTAGGTATTGATGTTAAAAAAGGCAGAGGCCGTTACATTGATACATCTATGGTAACATTTGCGCCCCGTTACCTATTAGATAATAAATCAACCTACAAGCTTGCCTTTGTTCAGCGGGAATTTGCCAGAGGTCGGGTAAGCTGCTTCCTTTCTGTTACTTGTTACTACAATACCTGCAGTTAGTCCCAGCATCTTCTAACCAGAAAAAACACAAGCATTGTACTGGAAAGTATTGTTGGCTGACTATGAGGATCTTCCTCATTAGTCTAATACCAATGTCCACCTAATAGAATACTTGCTGTGTTCATATTTGAGAGGAATATAGTTTAATACTGTTATTTTTTAACAGCTATAGGATATTTATTTACCAATTTCTATTACTAGGGAACATCCAATCCTGATGGCTACATCTCCACACTTCCTGGTTCCAGCGTGTGTTCCACTGGCCGCGTAATGATTATGATCAATTATTGTGTGTGAGACTGATGGATGTCCCAAACTGCATTTGGTCTGGGGGCTTTGAAGTCAACAAAAATAGCTCATTCCATATTAACATGAGGTAGCTATTATATATAATCTTCTGCCGCATATGTCCATTTTTTCATAGAAGCAACTGTTTAATGCTTACGAACTCTGGTTAACACAGATCAGCAACCTCTCTTGCATTTGTTTGGTCTTGTTCAGGGACACGCTGGGAAAATGTTACTTCTTAAGAGTAGAAATTACTCTTCAAGGAGCCACATACCGCATTGCGTTCAGTGACACGGATCAGTTACCGCCACCTTTCCGCATAGACAATTTTTCAAAGGTAAAAGAGCAAAAAAATCACAGGTTTTTTACCTTCTAATTGTTAGTAAAAAAAGAAAAGTATGAGTTCTTTTTGTATTATTTAGAAGAGGGAGCTGACTAGCTTATGTCATGAAATAAAATGAAAGTGTGTGTAGCAAGAGGTATTTGTATATGATAATTGTAATTTTCTGAAGTTTTAGTAAAAATGGGTAGCACTCAGCTTCTCCATCTTGTTCAAATAATTGTGCTAACGTTGTGGCTTTCATGAGTGCATTAAAAGCCTTAACAAAGAAGAACAACGTTATTGCTTATGAGAAAATTGTGCTAGAGTGATCATTTGTAATTGTTCTGTTATATTCAGCAATTGAATAACCTGTAAAAAGAATTCTGTCTACTGCTGCCACTTCCTTTCTCTCTGTCTTTGGGCTTCCACATCAGTGATTATAAAAATCAGAATTCACTTTGCCTAGAGTTCTTAATAGTTGTTGGTTCTTGTTCTGGATTTTGGTACTGAATTGTTTAACAAAACTGGGCAAGTCTCCTAATTTTGATTAGGAGGATTTGAGATGCTGCCATGAGACTAAAGACATTTTGAACTGACGATGACAGATAAAAGCAAAGATGACATTTTTATGTTTTTAATTGAGAGACAAATGAAAGAAAATGCATATGAAACCACTGGGCAGGGAGGGAAATAAGGTGAACATCTTTCAGTGATCAACTCCTGATAAATGAGGGAACGATAGCAAAAAATCTATCTGATTAACAATTTCTGTGTGAAACAATTCTCTTTCATAACTGTTACAGGTCCCAATTGTTTTTAATCAGCGTGATGTTGTTGAGCCAAGACTCTACACTGAAGTGAAGCCCATGACCTCACTGGATTATGCATGGGATGAACCTATTCTACCACCTTTCGTAATGCTGACAGTTAAAGGAGCAGGCTCCTCAGAAATCGTCTGTAACATGAATGACTTCCAAGATAGCAACCAGCTTTACTATGAAAACTTCATTTATATTGCTGCCACATACACTTTCTCAGGGTAATTCTTTTTATATCAGATGAAAATATTTTGAATGTTCATGGCGTTCTTTAGACTTTATGTTAATAGTGTCTTAATGGTTGCTATTTAAAAGTTTTTCAAATGCAGCTAAACTTCTGTCAACCTTGTAGCTAGCAGAAGAAATGCCAGAATTCAGAAGTTGAGTCTAGCAGTCCGTAAGCTGTATATCTTACCTCGTTTGGTTGTGATAATTTAGCTTTATTGGTGCAGCTTGCCATTGTTGATTTTATCACATAATGAGAAGCATTTAGCATATGGCATCTGCTGTGACCCCACTGTCTGATCTTAGAGGAGCAGGGATGTTTAGGGTGGTGTGTGGGGTCTTAATTTCATTTGGTGTATAAAGAACACTTGGCCACAGAACATACCTGTCTGTGACATGTCTGTGAATTTTAAACTTGCACAAATGTATATGCTATTGAAAACAGCTATGGGAAATTGACACGTGCTTTGTTGTTATCTTCAATATAAAGTAGAAAATTTTCTTTGGATTTCACCTTTTTTGACTGTGAAGTTCATAGTCACAGTGAGAATTCAAAGCCTCTTTTAAGAATGTACTCAAATGGATAGCTTACTTACATAATCAGAAAAATAACAAGCGGAGAGGGAAAAAATTGTTTGATTGGCTATTGGAAGCATAAGCTTCCTTGATTGGATTTTGATACAGATCTAATTCAGTGTCCAGAAGAAGCAGCTATTCTGAATAAACATGATGATTTTGTTGGTGTTCTAGTTTACAGGAGCCAAGTGTAAGACCAGTTGCTTCGAATAAGGATGCTGCATGTGCAGAGCTTGTCCTTGATGTTTCTCCAAAGACTCAACGAGTTGTACTGAAAAAGAAGGTACTAAGACATGTTTGATTTTGGTGAAATGCTGTTACTATGTGCAGAAGTAAAATTATATGCTGGGAGAAGGAAAAAATAAAAACATTTTCATGGTAACTTTTAAAAGGTGGAAACAAACTCCATTGAAAATGAGTTTGTTGCAGTTCAGGTTGCTTGAATTATGGTGGTGCTTCCATATGAGACTTTTATGGGGGTAAGGGTGACAGAAGAGAGAATTGGAATAAAAGTAGTAAGGAACATTGTAAATTCCTTTAAGACAGCCAAGTGTGGTAATTGTACGTTGGATATTCTAATGAAGTTGCAAGGTAGAGCATGCTTCTTTTTTGTTTGCATTGTAACCTAAGTCTTCTATTTCTGGAGATCCTAAGAAATAGAAACTGTATTTAAATATTGCTGCAATTAAAAATAGCTTGTAAATACAGCTCTGCATCTAACAATGCTAACATAAGATATATACTTGTTGAATATCAGAGTTGGATTGGAATTTTTTATACAAACTTCTAATTCAGGGCTCTGAAGTTACTTATATACAAGTCATTCCAAGAATTATAATTCAAAGCATCTGATAGCAAAATAGAACAGAAAAATTTGCTCTGTACTGCTGTGCTTATTTAAATGTTGAATTTTTATCCAACAGGAGCCAGGAAAACGATCCCAGCTTTGGCGAATAACAGGCACAGGAATGCTTTGCCATGAAGGTTCTTCAGTTCCTCACAACCCCCATAAACCTTCTCCTCGGTCTGCAGACTCTTGTATGATTTTAGATATTGCAGGTCTAGCAGCTGTTACAGATAACAGGTATTGCAAATACAATTTCTCAGGAAACTGATGTAGTTTCTAAGCTTGTCTTTAAAAGCATACTTAACATGATATTCTCTGAATAAGGAAAGAAGTTATTCTGAAGGCATGTGGAAGAGCTAGATTTTATCTCTTCGTGACCAGACCTCGTGATCAGTTTTGTGACCTGATATTTTTAAAAGCATGGCTAATGTATTTTCAGCAGCAGATAGTTAAAAGAGTACTTCAGAAGTGAGACTAAAAAAATGAGCTTGAACAAAATTAGAGCAAGTGTTCACCATTAGCACATCTCAAGAGTAAAACTGACAAGTTATAATCCTCTAAGTATTGGCTGGCATGCTTCTGTTGCAGGTACGAGCCCCTGATGTTAAGAAAGCCTGATCGACGGCGCAGTACTACCCAGACGTGGAGTTTTCGTGATGGAAAGTTGACCTGTGGTATTCATGGACTTGTTGTCCAGGTCAGTGTTGATGATGTGTTGAATTGTTTCAACTGTTGCTAATATAGATTGACAGAGTCATTTGGGCTTAGTATTAAACATCTTGCACCATTAATTTGAAAGTAAATAATTAGAAAATTAATAGTACACCATTGTTGAACAGTATAGTGATAGGGCTGATGTAAGCAAAGAAGAAAAAGTATGGAAAATTCTCCTTAAGGCTCACAATAACCTTTTAAGGCTGCATATGTGGTTCTATTCTGATTAATTTGAAAGGAATGTAGTAGCCGTAAAAGAAGTTTCCAGCCTCCAGAATAGATACAGCCAGGATAGCAGCAATGTAGTGTTCCTTTGTCACTTTTGATGCTGTTTCAATTCTAATACAAAAAAAAAACAGATCCAGAGTAAAATATTTTACTACTTGTCAGTTTGAAGCAACCAAAAAAAGCCCCGTGTTGCTGTTCTAAGATGTTGACTGAGTAAGAATTTACATTCTCATCTGCAGATCCAGAGTTCATTTTTTAAGGAGGTTTGTAACATTTTGAAAATATTTTCAGGACGGACTTCCCACATTTGATAATGTTTGATAATGACATGGTAGCTTCTGTTTCTGAGGATGCAGTGGGAATACTTAATTATTGATCTTGGCTGTTTCGTTTCATTAAACATGAGTTACCAGAAGCTTTAGTAAAGCTTTATTGAGTAAAGTGCTGCTGGACTGCTTTTCTTTTAGTTTTGAAGAGTAAGGAAGGAAAGTAAAATACACTTTTAAATTAATGTATGGAAATAGCTCTCTGAAGCCTTTACCCATAATTTAATTATGTTTTTTCTTACTCTTCTTTCTTTCTCCAGGCAAAGGGAGGAATACGAGGTCTTCATGATGGAGCAGAAGTTGTTCTTGGTCCTGATACTTCACTTGAACTTTTGGGACCAGTTCCACCTGAACAGCAGTTCATAAACCAAAAGATGAGGCCTGGGTCAGGAGTACTGGCTGTTAAAGTCATCCCAGATGGACCAACTAGAGTTCTACAGGTGAAAGTCCTTCATTAACTAGAGTCTGGTATTATTTACTTGTACTTGAAATACCTTTTCCTATATTGCATCTCTAAATTCTTACAAAAAGTTAACTTAAAAAAAAAGTTACCATTATATGTTTTGAGGGGGTTTGGGAGGGAGGATATAATAAAAAAAGAAATAATTACAGCAAAAGTTTTCATTGTACTTATTTTTTAAAACTTATTTTTTATAAGGTAGCTGGGTTTTATTTTATAAGGTAGATGTTATTTATAAATAGGAAAGTAATCATTGTAGTAACTTATCTGTTTATCAGATAACGGATTTTAACCATCGTAGAAATGATCGTTTATCCAGTGAAGGAGATGGACTTTCAGTTATGGAACAAGATCTGCGCAAGTTAAAAAATCCAGATACAGAGCAGGAATTAGAAGTAAGATATTACAACTATTATCTGTCTGTCTTATTTTCCATTTTCCTTTCTAGATTTTAGAGGGGCGGTTGCGAGAGTTGATTGGTAACTTTTCCCAATGATGACCTCTTGTTATGAACTTGTAGATTTTCCTGCTAAAAGTCCTCATTCTTTGAAGCTGGGTTTATATGTCTTAATACCTCTTTATTTGAACACTAATTGCCTATGAGCTCCTCAGCCTCTCTGGAGATGAAGCTAAAAAAAAATAACTTATTTGTAGAAGTATGTATGCAGTATCACAAATTTTTTCAGTATTGGTTTGTTAGTGAGGGTTTTTTTTTTCCCTTTCAAATATTCTTTTCTCAGGTGCTTGTGAAACTGGAAGGTGGAATAGGATTGTCTTTGGTCAACAAAGTTCCTGAAGAGCTAATATTTGCAAGCCTCACAAGAATTAATGTCCACTACACACAGCTGTCAACAAGTCAGGTGCTAGAGCTCAGTGTGCAGGACATACAGGTATTTGCCATTTTGAAACACATTTATTTGGGTTTTCTGTGGTGTTTGTTGTCATGATAGGTTTGAAAAATATTTAGAGCTGTTACTGAGATTTTAATTCTTCCACAAGAGTTTCAATTAGCACTGATGTTCCGCTTTTTCATGGTTCTCTACTTAGTAGTAGTTAACGCAATTATATATTGTATTTCATGCTGTTGATTTCTGTTAGGCATGTTAGAATCTTTTTTGTTTGGTAAACAGGTCAGATTGTCATTTTTCTCCCTGCCTGCTTCGTGGTTCTTTGTCGTCACATAATGAAAAAGCATTGAAAGCAGGAGTCCTCATGCGGGTAGTCCCACAGTATAAATCACAGAATCACAGACAAACAAGATGAATAAAAACCTCTTACATTTTTTGAAGGAAAAAAAACAATCACAGAAAACATAGCAATTTTATTATAGGTTTTGTTTGTTGGTAGTTATAACCATTTTTAAATGGAGGATATTTCTGAATACTTTTTTTGTATGGTCTCAGTGGTGAGCAGTAACAAAGTATATTTAGTATCTGCCTGGCTCAGGAGCCATGTATTTCTGAAGCATTTTAAGTCCTCAGTTAAAGGTTCAATTTTGCAGTTTATTGTCACATATTCAGATTTTGTTGTCTATCTTGTCCACTCTGTAGGTGGACAACCAGCTTATTGGCACCACGCGGCCTTTTATGCTATTTCTGACGCCTAAGATGAATGAAAATGAACCTGTGGAGACTGGTCCTGCTCTGCAAGTAAATGCAATGAAATTTCCCAGTAAAAATACACTGACTGATATCTACAAGGTAAACTACAATCTCTTGTTTGTACCATGCAGTTATTACTCTGTTTAAATGACCTTTCCTGTTCCTAATTTTTACTAGTAATCTGAATTAAATAACTTGTGAAATACACTTTGCTGAATTAATACTGAAGCTTAAAGGACACTGTATCCACCTTCTCACGTTCACAGTGTTTAGACCTAAAGTAAAGTGATCAACAGCATAATAAATGTGTTTAAAATACAACAAATTAGATCAGACCCCTGTTCGTATCTGTGACCTACTTTACTAACAATTATTCTCATCTCAGAATTGATAGGTGCCATTGTAGCATAGTGAACCAGAATATCTGTGCTATGCTTTTCGTGAGTTGATGAGTTGTGTACAAAGGGTGTTAGTGCTCTCTGATAAGCTGTTATCTTGCAGCATAAACCCTGTTCTGCGTACTAGAGCTATTGATGTTGTTTGGAAATTTATCCACCAACTGTGATATGCATTGTGAGAGCAAAACTGAGTTGATAATTCAGACCCATTTTCTCACTTGGAAACTTCACCTATGTATTTTGATACTATTTTGACAATCAGCTGATTTCAGTGTTGGAAAACAGCTAAGCATCAGATTCTGAAGTGTTAGTATTAGGTAATGAAGTGCAATATCTTCCAGAAAATTGAAACAATCATCGCTAGTTGTAGGTAACTTTAGATGAAGAAAACTAAGGACATTTTGAAGGTAAGAATCTTATTATGAATCCATTCTAGTGAAAATATTCTTTTGAAGTAGAACACATTGTCCCTTTTAATGGCTTACATGGATTATATTTCTAGTTTTAATACTGTAAACTGAGACTTGTTTATCTTCATAGCATCTGATGATCACTGCTCGAAAGTTCACAGTTCAAATTGAGGAGAAACTACTTCTGAAGCTCTTGAGTTTCTTTGGTTATGATCAGTCTGAATCAGGTATAGTATAAAATTACAAAGACCAGTTTTACAGTTTACAGAGGTATTATGATCTTTGCATATAAAATAAGTTCAAAACACCTAACAAACTCTCAGCTGCTTGGAAGCTTCCACTGTTGAACAGAAAGCTGGAAAGCTGATGTCTCAATGGGCCCCATAAAGCTATTAATTTATACTGTGCTTGTTACAGTATGCAGGTAACGACCCTTGTAACATGCTGTTGTCCAGTACACAGCGGCTGAGCCTCTGTGGAAAGGAGTTCAGTATTCATCTTAAGTTCCTGTATCTGGATCCATCTAAATTGGCATAAAAGAAACTGTGTTATTAATTTAGCAATCCACTTTGTTTAGTAATGTTTGTTTATTTAAACCCAAGGCTAGAAATGGGATCTCTGTTCGTTTGTTCCTTGGGCAATTCCTCTTGCTTAATTGAAGGAAAATTTTGGCTGTCTGACCTTTTAGTTGGGGCATCCATACTCTTGGCTTTAATTGTAATGAAAGTTTTCTTCCATTCAGTGAGGCAAGACAGAGCTCTTAAATCTTCTAGTCTCATAGATGGTGTTCTAATCCTTCTGTTGTAGGGTTTATGTGTACTTTGGAAACTTTCTGAAATGTCTGTTTTGGAGTGGCAATTGAAAAAGTCACTTTTATTATGCAGTAGGTTTACATAATGAAATAACTGTTGCAGGAAAAACTATTTTTGGCATGATTCCAAATGGAGGCAATCCTACAAATGATGCTCAAGATTTGTGTCTTGCTAATACACAGTATCTCCTGAATTGTCTTTGAAAAAACTATTCATGATGAAAGTCTTATGTTTCTCAGCTTCAGAGAGGACTTACAGACTTAGATTTGTAGTGATGAGGGAGAAATAAAGACTTTTAATTTTGCTCTTCTGCTGTTCACTAATCTGTCCTTGTTTACCCTGATGCTTTTGCTGCTTTTTCGTTTCCTTATTTACTGTACGCTCTTTGCAGTTTATCCATTGATGCTGATGTCATCCAAGATTCAGACAAAAATTATTTTGTCATTTACAGTCAACATGTTTAATTGTTCAACCTGAGTTCATAAGATGACAAAAGTAATCTTTTGGTTTTCCTGCTACCTTCTTACATCACCAAGATGCTTTTAGAAATAACATATGAACCTGTTAGTGTCAACCAGATTTGGCTCACTCTGTACATAAATTGATTTATGGAATGTCTTCCATGTAGGCGCTTTGTCCATTCTGTAGTGATAATTGAAAAGATTGACGACTTTGCTTGCTTTGTACATTATATTCATAGCTGAGCATGTGAGAAAGTATATTGAAAACCATGACTACAGAGTAGGAAACATTGTGTAGTTATGTTTGTATCTCCTTGTTTCTGTATGCTGACAAAGATAAATTAGAAGGGAGACTAAAAGCTCAAATAACTTAAACTATGCACTTGGATGACTTTTTTATCTAGCTACAAATACGTTCAGGTTTTAGAGCTGCAGGCAGATCTGAAAAAAAACTCTTGAGCCTCAAAGGTCAACCTCATGTCACAAGGCATGAGTAATTTTGCTGGCTACACTAGCAGTCACACATACTTTTTATTTGTACAGAGAAACTATTAACTCTTCAGAGAGTATGCATTCATAACCGCATATTTATTTATATATAATCTATCTGATTCCTATGTTTTGTCTGGATGCAGAAGTTGAAAAGTATGATGAAAACCTCCATGAAAAGGTCGTTGAACAAGGTGGAGGACAAAAGCGATACTACTTTGAAAATCTGAAAATTAGTGTGCCTCAAATAAAGCTGAGCGTCTTCACTTCCAGCAAGCTACCTTTGGATCTCAAGGTACGCCAGCACGTTTGCAGAGTATGCTTCCAAGTAAAGAGGTTCTATTGTAGGAGGAAAAAGGAACAGAAGTTTTAACTTACTACTATTAATTTCCATTTACTTTTCCATTATTTAAGTTACAAATAATGGAAGTTCCAATAACTTCCATTATTTAATTTGCATAATTTCCAGTTTGTTCTGTAATATTCTTTTATTTTTATAATTTCAGTTGAAGCACAGCCAACTTCACCTAATAACTCACTACTTTACAGAGGATCTTAGTTACATTGATGGTAGTGTGAAGAGCTTAAAGGGAATGTATATCGTGGGAGGGCTGAGGTGAGGCTGAAGAAAATCAGGAAGTTACTCAACTTAGGAAGCAGAAATACAGGACAACTCTGAGTGTTTTCATCCCAGAAATGTTGTCTCATTGGAATTGAAGGGTGTGCATGAGCACAGTGCAATTTAGTTCAATATTAAATTAAATTCAGATTAAGCATGGACTTAGGTGGAAGTTCTGGTCCTTCTCATGTGGTAAGAAATGTACTGGCACAGTTGTTCAAGTGAACCAGGGATTCCAAATTATAGCAATGCTCCCAACTTGTATGTTGGGACCTTCCTGGACATAATAAGGTGGCAACAGTCAGCAATATTTCAGTTCCCTCTGAGCTAATATAGCTGACTTCCTCCCAGGTGGGGAAGCTGAAACAAAACCAGCCAAACCAACCATAAAAGATCCCCTCCACTGTGGAGGAACTGAGCTGCTGCCTATTCAACTTGTGTTCAAAAAAACAAAATTGAAACACTGACCACGCTTTTTTTGTGTGCCTTTGATATTATGGATGTTAAGATTTGCAAGCTTTTAAAGTTTAGTTTTGTGGAATGGGTGTATATCATGGAGTCCTACCAAGGTGACCCTGAATATCATCAGTCCTGCAAGCTTGTGTTGCTTTTGCCAAATCCTTGTGCGAAGGAGGACAATTCAACAGCTAGCTGTAACATTCCTTACTGTTCAACATCAGCAATGTCTTGAATGTGTTGGCACGTTAGCTTCAACATGAAAATGCTTATCATCTAATTTGCTCAGATTTAGAGAAAACAGTGTTAGTGGTCAGTGCCTTCAAGAAACTTGTAATGTGCACTGTTCTGTTCAGATTTCCTGCCACCTTTGGTGTACAATTGCATATGGATATGTCTTGGCAGCTGCCAGCATTGTTCTCAAGAGAAAACTTGGCGTATACATTCTTTTTCCCCCTAATGATAACAGTTACTGACTGTATTCTGTATATAACTTTCACAGAAAGAGTTCCATTCAGTGTTGTAGCACAGGAGAGTTCAGGGTAGGAGGGAGAGAATCACAGTAGAGCCTTTGTAGAAGTTCTTCTAACTGCCTCTAATGTTTCTGGCTTGAACATTGCTGTCTGGTAATTTGGTGTAGACAGATTATTTTTATTAGGTACCAATATTAACAAAGTTGCCTTCTATAATATCTGATAGTTAAACAGGAAATTACTTCCTACCCAAGTGAATAATGAGGACTACTCTGGTTAGTCATCCATTTACTGAAAAAATAAATAGGTTCTTTCTTACTTGCACACTTAGATCAGACGTGTAATTTACCCTAATTGCCTGCAGATGGCAGGAAAACTCATATTACTTACTACCAAGCATGCTGTAGTGATAAATGTAGAAAGATACGAGTATCAGGCTTCTTGCCTTCTTCACATTTTGTGATGTCAGTGACTGTGCAGATGCAATTATCGAGACCCGAGACAGAGCTTTTTTTTTTTAAAGAGATTAATTTTCTTGTATTTTTTTCTAAAATTACTGTGTGTATATAGATGAATATAGATGTATAGTTTGTCCACCTCAAATATGGGGGTTTCTATGTATAGACTGTGCAGGTTACAGATGGCCCATGGGCTAATTACTGTCTTAGATTTCTTCCTTGAAAAGAACTGAAAAAGCTGGTTTAAGGAATTTCAGTACACCACGTAATGTTAAGAAATGAGCCTCAGGCTTGCAGGAAGTTACGTATGTTATTCCAGCTCATCCCAGCACTTAAACCATTCACAGAACTTCAGCAGTGTAGCAAATACCCAGTTTTGTCTTCACTACATATCAAGGAAATTAATTTAGGGTTTGGTGTAACTGAATACTAGAGCAGTTACAGCAAAGTGCGAAGCATGAAATCTTAAACATTTTGTTTGAAATGTTCCTATCAAGGGTAGGAAACAGCTGCATCAGGAAGAGGGTTTAATGTCTGTCTAGGTATTGAAGAAAGGCAGTTCTAATAATCATTGCTTACAAATAAAAGGTTTATGGAGTGACTGCCCTCTATATGGAAGTGTCTACATGACAGTGGTAAACTGCTCTAGCAGCTTCAGATAATTTTGCTTTGTTAGCTATGTAAAGATAAATTCATTTAGATGCTGTGAATGAGAAGTAGAGAGAAAAATTAAAGTAGCAATATCTTTTATTCAATTAGGCATTGAAAAGCACACTGGGATTCCCTCTAATCCGCTTTGAAGATGCTGTGATTAATCTGGATCCTTTCACTAGGGTCCATCCATATGAAACTCAGGAGTTTATCATTAATGACATACTGAAACACTTTCAAGAGGTAAGTGTCATACAGATTGTATCGTTGCAAAGGCTGAACTTCTCTTGATGGATGAATTCTCTACTGAGGGTGCAGGAACTCTCTCTTGACTGCTTACCCAAGTGTTTGTGCTGTATTGCTTCTTCAGTATACGGAGAAATAGCATCACACGCTGCTAAGAATACACTGCATTTTAAGATGAAATTATTGTTGGTCTTACTGGTCTTTGTGTGCTCAATTCTTCAGTAAAACTGTTCATTTGTTCAGTAAAACTGGGTTTGTATATTATTTTGTTGTGGGTGAGACTTTTTTTTTTCTTTTAATTAACCTTGCTGGTGTTAATGTTAAGTGATATTTCATTCTTCCTGTTGATTTTACAGGAGCTGCTTAGTCAGGCAGCAAGGATTCTAGGTTCTGTGGATTTCCTTGGCAACCCGATGGGTCTACTGAATGATGTTTCAGAAGGCGTTACTGGACTTATAAAATACGGCAATGTTGGTGGTCTCATAAGAAATGTCACACATGGAGTATCAAACTCTGCTGCAAAGGTAATAATTATGATACTAAAGTTTGCTAAAACAGTAAGCAAAAAATAGTCAGGAACCAAGTCAGATAGAATTACTGAGCATCTTTAAATTGGTTTATGTCCTGTTTGTTTTGTAAAAATTGCATTTAAAGTGTCGGTCTTTTTTTGAAACACTTTATATGCACACTTCAGGGATGCCAGAGACCCTGCAGGCATCAATGAAACTACTCAAGGCCTTGCTATTGATATACATATATTTTGCAGATTGAATGCAGTAGTTAACCAGAGTGAGAACTAAAATGTTGCTCAAGTGTGGCATAATCTCCTATGCGCAAATGAACAAAGTTATATTATGTATGTAATACATATATAGAGAGAGCATTATAGGAATTTGGAGTTTTTAGGCGGTTATTTAGTCCAACAAGAGTTGTTAGCTTTTATTTTTAGAAAGTCATTAAGCTGATTTGAATCTCAATTATTATGCTAACACTTGCCCTTTTTATTTTCTATGCCACATAGCAACAAACTAAGGAATTCCTAGATTGCTAGACATTTATCTTTAGTTTAATTTCAAAGTCTCTGCATGGTGAACATTCTTTTGTTCTTCTGATAATGATTGAGAGAATTCAATCATATCTGTGTTATCAGTGAAAATAACTACCTGTAGTGCCTGATCTGACACAGCAGCCAAAAGTAGCAAGTGGTTTTGATCATGGTCGGTACTGTGCTTGATACTGAACAAGCAAATATTGACTTGGATTAAAAAAATCTTGAAAGATTTTTCATTACTTACATGGTGTTTCAACACGTATTGTAAATTAATTTTGTGACCATGGGTAGAATTGCGATAATGCTTTCTTCACATAATAACGTGTTGTTAAAAATAGTTTTTGTGAAAATTCTTTATTTATTTTTACTTTCCAAACTGGTAAGTTTATACATGTATATTATCATGGTTCATCCTTTCAGAACCTTTTCAACTTATTTGTATACAAGGAAATCTGCTTTTTTTCCCCACATTAATTCTGAATGTTAATTCAGAAGATGAGAAAGGTGAAATGTAGAGTTTGCATAATTACAGATAGCTCAAGACTGACATTACCAAACTTCGTTAAACTCTCATAGAGATCTCCAGTCCATCACCAAGTGCATAGCTGTGAGCTTATCTAACCCAGAGAGTCGAACCATGAGAATGATGTTATACGCCTTCTCTGTCATAACCATCTTGTTCCCAGCATTAGCCCATTTTGGGCAGTTTCAAGAAATTCAAACACAATACCATGTAGTTGATATTCCTGTCTTAGTCCCATACCTGGCAGTTCTGTGTATAAGCAAATACAAGCTTATCCACGCAATCTGGTAGGAGACTGACTGAGCTTCTGTAAGGCGGTATCCATCTGTGCAAATGAGTATTTTTGTCCATACTTTCTGCTCGTGGTTCCAGTCTCTTGTGACCCATCCGCTCCACCCAATAGAGTGTGTTTCTTTAGAGTTTCCTTTCTATAAAGTGTTGTTTCCTCATTGCAGTCACATCTGCAGCAACAGTCTCATAAATCTTCCTTTAAAAGGCACGAGCCTTCCTATGTTTCCCACAAGGGCAAGGTCATTCTTTGAACTTTGGAGTCATTTGTAACCAAGGGTTTTGTGAAGGAAGATTTTCAAAGGCAGAAGGGCAGTTGGATGCTGAACTCTTTCAAAATACAACAGGAGCTGAGTGCCTGCTTCCCATTTATACCTTTGAAAATCACCCCATGTACTATTTATCTGTCTTCCCAGGTATTTTTTTTTCTTTCTTCCGTATATATCCAAACTGTCTGTGGTACAAGTCTCACACAGTTCCCTTTTAAAAACGTCTTATATGGATTATGTATTTGTCCTTTCAGAACAAGGACAGAATTAGATCCTTTAGGAAAGTTTAATAGTATATTATGGAACTCCTTGATTAATCCTCCTTCTAAAAGATGGGTCATAATTCTGCTACATGGAAGATGATGGTAAGAAAGGCTCAAATAATCAGGATTAATTCTTCCCTATATGTTGAACTGCTTTTAAGCATATAAATCTGCTAAACTAAGAATGTCCATATGATCAAAAAAAATGACAGATCAAGTACAATTTGTGACATGTTATGTATATAATGCAGCACAGACCTTTGACTCCTCTCTGCTCTACCATGGATATGCCTGACGATGGAGTCTAGGACACGTGAAGTTTTGGTAAAGAAAAAAATGTAGGGGAAAAAATAATTCCAATTAGTCAAGAAAAACATGACTGAAACAGTAGAACATTTTCATCTTGCTATTGGCGCTCTCTGTAGGAAAAGGCTTTTAAAGTATATTTTTACTGCATAATTTTTCACCTGATTCAGCTGTGCCACAGAGGTCCTCATGTTTGCAGCTTATTCTGTGGAGCTGATAATTAATGCAGCCCAGACTAGATGAGCCCATCATCTGTATATAAACTGATAGCTGGAAAAAATACCCATTTTGGCCATTCTGGGAGCCTGACTTTTAAAGTGTCCTTAATAAAAATCTATCCTAGATTTTAAGATGAGTTAGATTTTAAGGTGTGAGTAGACAGATAAACAAACTTTAATACTATAATCTTCACTTTAAAAGTAACACTTCTTGACTGAATCGAAGAGTAAGCTATTCGAGTTGTATCTGGTTTTGTAATTTTATTGCTTTTCAATTTTATAGTTCTGTTGATTATCCCTGTAATGGCTTTTCCATGCATTTCAGAACGCGCAGTGGGTAATGCCTTGTTTCAAGTGGAGAGCTGCAGTGTATTTAAGTTGGCACAAAACCTCAGGTTAAATAAAGTTCACTACAGACAGTTTTGTAGTTTTTATCCCTTGGAGACTCTAAGTTCTGTATTTTAAAAAGTTCTTTGATCCTAAATATAGACACCTGAGGGAATTTCATTCCCTCTGAATGGAGACTTCTATAGTTGCCATATGCGTAGAAATGTCTTGCATTCTTGGCATCCACACTTTTTTTTATTTCGCCCTTTAGGTATGATAGCACTAAATCATAAATAATTCCTGTTTCAAAGGTGTTTCAATTAGAAATGAATATTGAACACTAAATTAGCGATTGAACAAAAGTGTACCATAGCTTGTGTTGTTCACGTGGAAAATTAAGCATGGTTGTATCTGTTACTGGCAAATAGGTGTTGTGCTGACATGATTAAATTCCTGGTAGTAAAGGATTGAAAAGATTAATCAGCTTGTCAATACTGCATTTAATTGGTCTGATTTTTTTTCAACCCTAACAAGGAATTCTGTTATCTTTTATGAATTATGAGCACATAGTAATATAGTTGTTATGACTCTGCAGCTAGGCTTAGTTTCTGGAGACACAGATATATAGATGTATAGGATGGAAGTAATTGTTGTGTCCCTCCCTTGCTCCCCCCAAAAAATATAATTTAATGAACTTCTTGAAAGAGCTTGATTTTCGTGTTGAACTTTGAAGTTTCCAGTGAGAAATTTAATTAGACATCTTAAAGAAAGGCAAACCATCAGCCACAGTTGCATTTCCTTGTTCGGCTTTTGTGGAAGCTTGCAGAGTTGAGAAGCAGGCTTCCTTAGGCTTGGGAGCGGGCACCTGAGATCCCCAAACTGTCATTTGCTTACCTTTTGTTGCAACAAACAGTACGGTAGGTGTTCGTTTGCTTACATGGCTGAGGAAGAGGCACAAATTAACTTCTGCCCTGGGCTTTCATTCCATATATTGATTTTAATTCAGAGTGATGGTAGAGGTGTTTAAGTGATTAACAGAGATATGAAAAGAGATAGGGTAGTGGAACCAGGTTGGAAAATTATAGGTCTAGTAAGGATACAAATATTGCTCCAGGTGAGTGTTTGATATGGAGGCTTTTGTAGAAAAGGAGCATGAAAGCAACACGAAGGGAAATAGGAGTTTTAATTCTCATTGTAAGATAAATCAAAGTAGAATCTCAAGTGGTTGGCAGTGACAGAAAAATAAAGATAACTGAATGGAAAGTGAAGAGGAAGTAATAAAGGGATTATTTAAAAAACAAATCACGAACAAGTGTTTGACTTGTATGAATGTTAACTTTAACAGAACTGGCAATAAATAAGGAGAGAAGTGAATATAGCAGAGTGCAGAAGGTAGCTACAATTAAGTAGGTTCTACCCAGGAGCAGACAGAAATGTTTCTAAAGCAGTCAAAGCTGATGGTTCCCATTTGTTTAAAGTTTTTCGTTTATGTAACCAACCAGTCTCATTCAGAAGCAAGAACAACTGGCATTCTCTCCTCTTTGGAGACACCATGGTTCAGTAGTTCTGGCAATATTAGCTCAAAATGCACTTCAAGTATCTGAAAAAGAATTGTATCTCGGTGACAGGAAACTCCTGACAAAAGCCTTTGTATGTGAAGCCTGAGCAAGAAGTACGTGGTGGTCTTCTCCTCAGGAGAGTAATAAAGTAGTCAACTGATAATGCAGAAAGATCCTGGTGGCATTCAGGTTCTGAGCTCCTGATTGTTCTGTAGTTCACAATTTTCTTTTGACTCCCTACTCTTCTACTGAACTGTGAACAGCAGAACATCTATGATTACCAGCAGTCTCATTCTGGATAAAAATGAGGAAGGCTGGAATATGTGTTGTCTCTCTAGGCAGCTTTACAGATTTGAATTTAGGTTGTGTTTTGGGAAAGCTGATGGTTTTCTTTACAAAGGTAGTCTAGGTATTGGAATTGTGGGATTTAGCAGCAATTGCCGTAAGTAGTTTTTTTCTATTCCTAAAAGTGATTTTTGCAGTTCAGGTCAGATGTATCTTGTCCTGTGTTTTCTTCAATGTAATCTTGAGATTTTTCTCCTCGTGTCTTCAGCCCTTGTGTCGTGCAGGGGCTGCTGCAGCTTGTTCAGGTAATGCATGCAGGTGGCACCGCAGATCATCTTCAGTTTACCTTGCATTACATTCACTGATGAGCAGTACGTGTACGGGTTCAAAAGAGGTTTTGGCATAAAGGATTTTCTTTGAGAAGTTGGAAGTATT